CAGAGCTCGGCGAGAGGCGTAGGGGGGACGGATGAATCCGGGGCGTGAGATTGGTGTGTTTTGTGCGAGAAGATTCCCGACGGGTTGATTGGGGTACAGAGGGGTCCTCCGAAGTGTTTAGTGGGGTTGAAGGGACATTGTTGGGTGGTTTTTCTGGAGCCATGGGGTAGGGGCAGGGGGGAATGATGGTTGGTGCGTGCTGGGAAGGGAAGAGGGGAAGGCCGATCGGCGAACCCAGGGGGGATATGCAGCACAGCAGCGGCAGAAAGCGCGAGCAAAGCGGCATGTGCACAGTGCTGAGACCATCCTGGGAGCGTTGGGAGCTGCAGCGCACAAAAAGCGCCGCAGCGGCTTTAATAGCACAGCAAAAGCGGTTTGGCGCGCTGCGCCGCTTCCGCTCGCGCTTTCCTGAAGCGAAAGCGCGATTCTGGCGCTGCGCTTTCGCTTTCGGGCCCCAGGCAAAGCGGCCAGCCCGCTATTTTTGAGCGAAGCGTAGCGGTCTGGCGCTGCGCTCTTGCTTTTTGGGCCTACAGGAAAGCGCAGGACCGCTTTGCTTCGACAAAAGGGCGCTTTTCGAAGCGAAGCGAAGCGGTTTCACCGTTGTTGCTAGTGAACACGTTGAGCAGAGATTCAAGAGCCCATTCGTAGTATTCTTCGGTTTCTTCGTGAAGGAAAGCGAAGGCGACACTGAACGATTTGTTGGATCCAGTGACGCCGGCAATGTGGAGGAGGGGCATGCGATACTTATTTGTCTTGTAGGTGCAATCGAGGAATAAGATGTAGTGGAAATGACGGAGGAGCTGAAGCGAGCGGTTGTGACAGAAGAAAAGACCTAGAATCTCGCCAGAATCATTTACCTTGGTTGCTGAGGTGAAGTCCGTCGTGAGGGTTTGATTAAGATGAACTATCGGGCTGAGACCAAGTAACTCTTCGGCCCAAGCCTTCTTTCTGGCGGAGTACACAGTTGAAATAGTGGCCAAGATCGACTGATCGGGATGTGTCTTCTTGAGTGATTGGAGAACCTGAGCTGGTTTTAAACCCGCGTCACCTAGTTTCTTCATTTGCTCATAGAGCTCCTTCGAGAGTTTTCGATTGGCGGTGTGCCCGGACGGATCTTCACTGGGTGCATGATTATGTCGGGGATCGGCCACGGTAAACTTCCATTCCCCTCCGGCCTTCTTCTGGATCTGGGCCCTTGCGTCGAATGGGCAATCGATCAGTCGACTGACGATGGGTCCAGGGCGTGTGTCATTCTTCCGTCTGTTTCGAGCTGGGTTACCACCCCTACACATAAGATGGAGAAAAAGTTTGGCCATTGAGCATGAGCTCTGATTTGAGTGCTATGCAGAAGGAGTACTTACCTGTCACATTTGAAAGTGATACTCTTCCCGGGAACAGTCCTCTTCCTGACAATGACGAAACCATTTTCCCGAGCGAAGGTTTTGATGGAGTGCTCGAGGATCAAAGGGTCGGAATAAGTGGCCGCAGGTGGAGCGGGTATGTCGGTATGTGGTGCTTGCGCTGGTGTTGGGGGGATGGTTGAGGTCTTTGTTGTTGTATTTGTATTATCTTCCGGATCTGACTCGGGCTCGTCCTCCTCAGCGTTGTCGCCAGTGTGCTTGTCGGCTTGACTTGCAAGTAGCTCTAAGCATTTTTCAATGG